TTATGAAAAAATGTTCTCACAATACAGGCATTGAAAAATCTCCTAATTTTTCCCCTTAATACATCCGTGGGAAGAATGGTCTCCATCTTGTGATTCGGTATCCAGCTGTTATAATATATTGATGGGACGTACAAGGGTTGAATTTAGTTTATTATTATCAGTCCTACTGGTATTTGTGACTGGTTTGGAACCACTCTACTGGAGGAACACAAAGTTGTGTTAGTTCCTTACAATGTAAACCATGTGATTTACAATGTAAACCATGTGCCCAGGTAACATTTACACCTGATCAGTCTTGTTACACACATGAAGCCTGTCACTTTTTTATTTTATTTTCCTCTGCTGATATCTTTAGTGATGAGTGTTTGAAAGTTATTTCTTTACTATCAAGGTGGATGGGTTTTATTTTGACTTCTAAATAATAATGTTGAGAAAATCTCATCACAAGTTCCATTTAGTAGCTTTTCTGGAGCTTTCCGTCGTATCATACAGTCTCATTTGTCATGGAGCATGTGAAAGCTTTTTATCTATAACTTAGGACAGATGACACATCTGACCCAGCTGTCAATACAAGCTTCTGATCCTTTGACAGTTTGAAGTCTCTTTAACTGGCACAGCAGAACCAGCTCTGGTCCTTTGGCATCTGGATACATGATTAAGTTAAAGCTGTAGAAACCTGGAGTCGCTGTCTCTTATCCACCTGTTTACACTCTGCAGGTATCATGAATGGATGAAGCATCCTGAGCTGCAGCATCTGACTGCCTCAGAGACACTGAACCTGGAACAGGAGTACGACATGCGGGGGAGCTGGCAGGAAGATGGTGACAGTAAGACTTCTTCTGCAACAGAAGCTTATTTAATACAACTTATGATAGGATAAAGTGAAATATGATTCAGTGACATTTGCTTTATGAGGTCAACACTGCTTTCAAGTTCTGTCCTTATGGTTTCCACATCATTCCTTCCAGACATTCATACCATCATCCATCAGATTTGTTAGGTTAAAGTGTTTATAAATAACTGGTAATCATTGGATATGATATGAGAATAAGACGTCATTCTTTGAGGTCATGCACTAGTAAAAATCATTCAACTTTTACTTAAAGAAAATCTATTTAATTTGACTTTTATTTTTTTGCCAGAGTGCACATTCATCATCTTGGATAAGCAGCGATGGGCAGATCCCAGTATAGAAGAGGAGCAGTGCACGGTGGGAGATGTCAGCATGTTCCTGATGGACCCAACAGACCTTTCCTCAGCTGAGCTGGAGATCACAATAGCAGGTGATGCCCAGTGTGCTCATCTTAACATTGATTCAAAATCAAAGGCTGAGTAAATATCTACAGTCAGCCTGTGCTGTGGTTTGTCCATCTCAATCATTTCCTGTGTATATCTCTTTATATCTGGACACTATATTCCCCTTGTTTTCTACAGAGCCCAGTTACAGAGGCAAGGGCATCGGGAAGGAGGTGACACGATGGATGATGTGCCCATTATTCTGCAGTTCAGCCTTGTGCTGTGTTCATCTTTAGTTGGAGAATCAACCTGTGGTGGAGGAGGAAAAATAATAAATGCAAAATCGGCATGAGAATGCAGAGAGGATGGATGAGATTGATGCAGGTTTGTTTCCTAATATTCTGACACTCACATGTATGTCAATGGGCAGGACAAAAATATACAGACACCTCTGAATATAATGTAGTCAAGTATGTGGTAGGGGACTTAGGCAGGACCCAAAGAATCATTTGAAGCTACTCTTCAGTCTCCAGACATTTTCTTTGGGTCCTGCCTAAGTCCCCTACCACAATTATGGACAGAGCAATGTGTCATCTGTCAAGTACAACAACACCTTTAACTATGACCTCAGTAATGAACATATTACATTTGACAATCTCACCAAAAACTGAAACATTTTGAGCTTCATAAATACAAATGTTAAATGCCTGATTGGTGTATAGCAATGTTGAATTTTATAGCAGTAGGTTAAAATGAGGCTGTATAGTATTAACTCTGCTTTTCAGTCCTTTACAGCTGACAACTTTATTACAGTCAACCATGTAGAATTTACTGTGTGTATACGTAACACTGTACAGCTTAATTTGATTGCATCCTTCAGTGGAGTGTCCTCCACACGGTTTTTCACAGAACAAAATAACTTGCATGTGTGTGCACATTCCCCCACAGCCTGCCTTGAAGCCAACATGATCTGGGAAAACTTATCTTGTCAACCCACATGAGGACATTGCTTTGAGCCATTAAGAAAATTGTTCATGTCATTTCAGAGGGACCATTTTCCAGATGTGGTCAGTGAAGCAGCAGATGTTAAGTTTTGACTTTATTGGCCTGTAAAAAACAACAAAACAAAACAAAAATGGGGGGGTAAAAAAAATTAAAATACAAGATGTCGTGTCACCTCATGTTGAAATAGCCTTCTGAATTATTGGTGGCAAGTCCCAAGAGAAGGCCATACTGCTGATGTCATCCTCTGCTGGGTTCATTGCCATCAAGCCTATAAGTAACATTCATTTTAACAATTCACATTTTGTTTACCCTCAATTTATGAAACAGGCCATGCAAATTTGATCTTTAGCAGTAATTTAAACTAATGTGCAGTTGTAAAGCACCACTCTGGTAAAAAGGTTCCACATTTAAACAATACTAAACTGAAGGGATGTTGCATTTCACTTTGAGAAGCTAGCCACAGTAATAAGAACTTGATGTAACATTTCACAATAGTCTGAACAATTTCACCCAGCTCACTGTGCCTGCCCCCACCTGTCAATGGATCACCAGCTTCCTGACAGACAGCAAGCAGCAGGTGAGGCTGGGGAAAACCACATCCAGCACCCGGACAATAAGCACAGGTGCCCCCCGGGATGTGTGCTCTCCCCTCTGCTGTTTTCACTCTACACCAATGACTGCATCTCCAAGGACCCCTCTGTCAAGCTCACATAGTTTGCTGATCATACAACGGTCATTGGTCTCATCCGAGACGGCGACGAGTCAGCCTACAGACGGGAGGTTGAGCAGCTGGTCCTGTGGTGTAGCCGCAACAACCTGGAGCTAAAAATGCTC